CATAGACTTCCTTCATCCAATTCTTCCAGAGTCTTTCTAGAAATCGCTTCATTTGGTTGTTCGAGTTGAAAAGAAATTTTAACTCATCAAAGTCTTCTTTTGTGATTAAGCCTCTAATCCATTTTTCTCTTCTGTGCATTTCATCTACTTGTGATCCTTTTTCTAACATTGTTAGGACTTCTTCTTTAATTTCCTCTGAGCTTTCTACATCTTTTAACTTATGCAAGGTTGCTTCTACTACTTGTTCCTCTAGTGTGTGGAGTAAATTCAGAGATAGCTCGCAGCTCACCAAGTGTTCTACATTTTCTTTCTTTTTTTTATATATAACACATTTGTCTGTCTTGTATGTTTCGGGTCTTCTTTAATTAAGTTTCTCAAACACTGGGAGTATATTGTTCATATACTTTATTTCAAAGAGCTGTAATATATTTGACTTGAAGGTGTGATTTCGTTGTTTGGTTTTGCTTCTCATTATATTGTGCAGGATAGACTATGATTAAGTATATTTTCTTTCTTGATATATTTCATCATGCATATTGTGAGCGAAAGTCTACTTTGCCTTGATTAGTACTCTCTCTAATATTTTGACAAAAGAATGGATTGGCTTCTCAACTAATTCACCTTCCCGCGTGTATCTTATTTTATAGTTTTTTATATATAGTGGTTCTGGAGTTAGGTAGTTTGTTGATTTGGCACCTTCTTTCGCTTTTAGATCTGCTAGCTTATTAAAATATTGCCTGAGTGACCCTTGATCTTGATGAAGCGTGTATCTAACTTCTTTGTCTTGATTGACTTTACAATTGTTGTTAACAAACCACTATTCTTAGTCTTTAGCCAAGGTCTTATCTTGTTCATTTTTAGACCTTTTTTAATTGCTAAGATTGCTGTTATACTATTTGTTCTTATCTCTACACTTCTTCTACAAGGTACAGTTAGTAAGGCAAGGAGAATTGCCACATCTCTGCTTTTGTAGATGAGAACCATTTCTTCGTTGTGCATGAAATTTGGCACATTACATGTTCTGTTTCTGTAATTTGAATTGCCTCACAACCCATTACCAATTTTTCTTCCTCCTCTGCAGGCCCGAGTAAGCCATTGGTATAAAAAAATAAACTATTTAGTTCTCTATTTTGCTCTAAGCTCTCTATTAGTTTATTCCTAATTACAGCACTTTTAGTTCCTAACAATCACACTTTATCCCTATATTAACCTCTTTTTTTATTTTTTTTAACTCTTTTGCCTTAACCAAGTATTTTTCCTCCTCTTTTCTAAACACTTTTTCTATATGTTGTTTCTTAAAAATCATTCTTGTACCTTTTTCTGTTTTCTGCACTATGTTTGAGATATCTCCAAGTTTTCTGCGTTTAACTATATGCGTTTCATTTGTCTTATCAATCTCTAGGAACCACTGGACTTCATTTTCTTGACACTTTATTGTTTCTTTGTATTTTTCGACTTCTATATACACATTTTCTTTTTCTATAATTTTTCCTACATGAAGAAATTCATTTGCATCCTCTCTTTAACAAACCCATTCTCTTACTCTTTTGTTATTGCCTACTTCTTTTATCTCGATGTTAGGAGTATTACTGTTATTTGCTTTACATTTGTATCTGTTTTTGATCTTTCTTGATCTGGGGTTTTCTAAGATCTTCTTTTCTAATTTAGCGAACCAGCCTGGCTTTTTCTCTTTTAGACTTGCTCCACATGCTAACTTAAATTAACTCTATGTATGCATTGTTTTACCATCTTTTGCAATAAGTTGTAATACTACTATTAGACCCAGGCCACTTGCTTTCGTCTCTGAGTAAGCTACATTTAAACGTTCGAGGACATATGCAATTTCCTTATTATTTACTGTTTGTATAAGGTCTAAATTCCAGCTTCTTGTAACCTTATTTTCTTCTATAATAAAACCCAAAGCATGTGCTTGTTGCAAAATATTTATCCCCAGATTACGATCTTTCATTTCCTTCTTTTCTAGTATAGTTTGATTTGTTAAGATACACTTTGTTGAACCTGCTCTTAGCTGATCTTGCTTGAGTCTTCTTGTTGTCGATTCTTCTAAAAGACCTGGTGTGTTTAGTCTAACTAGCAACTCTGATATGTGATGCTCCATATGTCTATTCTAAAGGCTTTTGAGAGCTGTTATCTCTGGATGTTTTGTTATTATATTGGCTGTTGTGGAGGGCATTAACATTTTCCATTTAATTAAACAGATCATTGCTATATTATGTAATAAAGGTTCTTGGTTATCTCAAATTATTATAAATATGTATTATATAATATGCCTAGTGCTAGGCTAATTAGTGGTTGACCAAAAATTTACTGGTCAAATTGGTCAAATTGATTATATAAATATAATATATATATGAGTTAATAAATTTGTAATCGCGGTTACTGTAACTATAATTAATATTAAGTAATTAATTGTGTATAACATATTAGTAATAAATTACATATGCAGACAGTTTCCGGTCAAGAATAGTTACTTTTAAATCTAATATCTTAGTTATGTACATACTTTAATTGATAATTTTCAATTGATGAGTACTGATACAAACCTTCTTCTAATGGCACTTAGCTAGATAAGAATTCTTATAGTGAATTTTGCTGAAGATTTATATCATGAAATGTGGTAATTAAAATTTTGATTTTTTCTTATCATGATAACAACTAGCTATATCTAATAATTAAAAATTAAGTACTGATTTATTAATTTAGAAACTCTTAATTACTTCCAAAAAAATGTAGAGTTCGAGGTCAATATATTTAATCAATACCTCTTTATTTTGTTATGTATAATTAATATTGCTATTATTCAAACCTTATTGTATAAGCTTTTGTAAATAAATTATTTAAAGAACCAGAAATTTTGAGTTTTAATGAATCTTATATATTTTTTGAAAGTTTTTTTTTTAATATTCACTAAATTAATATATATAGTTTTACATTTTTGGTGGGGCAATATTCAATCACATTTATTAGACAACATTTGTAAGGTTTAAACAAACTTCTTTTAATAAGGATCTTTCACGAATATAAAACATTGCTTTGACAAATTTTTTTACTTAATTTTTTTTAATCACAATAAGTGATTCAGAATTAAGGTTTAGCGAATTAAATTAGTGATGTAATTATTTCGAAATTAATAATTCATAAATCTTATTTGGTTTGATTTGTAAGCTTATTTATATGTATAACAATAATAATTAATACTTTTTATGATTGTAAATCTTCTATTTTCTTTCAATATTTGATATCTTTCATATATATTTTAATATTCTTATATTTCTGATTAACAATTGCATATTAAAAGAAGTACTATAAATAATATTATGATAGTAATCATAAAAATTGTAATAATTATTAAAAAAAGGGACTTATTTTATCTTTGAATATACTATTGTTATCCGGTAAACTTCTATGATTATGAAAAAATTTCTTTTTGTTATTTTTTTCATGTATTACTATGTAATTATGTTTATTCTAGTATTCAAAATTAAAACTCAGCAAGTGACTCCCTACTAATTATGATTATAAATTACTAGATAATATCAATATTGGGCAAATTGTCAAATTTGGTAATTTGGCAAATAATTGGCTACATGTACTGCTTTGCAGCACATGCTTTTCGACAATTTTTGCCCAATATTGTATATATAATGTTATTTTATAATAAATTTAAAATATTATTATATTAAAAATTAAAATTTATATTATAATATATTATAAAAATAAATAAATAGTTAATTAATTAATTTTTTGTAAAAAAAAAAAATTATTTTTTTTACAACTTACAATATATCAAATTTACAAGTTTTTTTTAAAGATGTCTCAACAACATAATTGTTTGTTTTGTTTAAAAATTATTACTTACTACAGAAATATTACAGATAATCTTAAATCTAAAATTGATAATTGTTCTGATAAAAATAATTATAAAGATCTTAGAGTTGGAGTTGATAAATTATGTTTTGAATGTTATATGAAAATTGTAGATTCTCATTGGTGTCAAATATTCACAATAAATAAAAATAATAAATCAAATAATTCATATTTAATAGAAACTAATGATTTAAATGAATCTAGCAAAACTAATATTTCAACAAATTTAATGAATATTAATAATTTAATTGAAATTGATAATTCTACTACTTTAGATTTAATAGAAACTAGTGATTTAATTGAAACTAATGAATCTGAAATTAATAACTCAGCAAATCTTATTGAATTAATTAAAGCTCAAAAAGAAGATTTAATTGAAATTAATTTAAATGAAATTAATCAACAATTTTTAGATATTAAAGTTAATATAACTAATAATACAGTTTCAATTGATTTAGAAAATTTTAATCAATTAATTAAATTAATTATTCAAAAAGATTTAAAAATAGAATCTTTAACTAATCAAAATAACACAGGTAATTATTATATTATATTTAATTATTTTAATTTTTAATTTTAATTTTAGAATTATATTATTTTGCATATATGCATTGTAATGCATCTTATAAGATCAGATGTAACTTGAAATTGAAACAATAAATTAATTTGTTAGTTTAGGGTTAGAGTGAAGGTTAGGTTAGGATTAGGTTAGGGTTATGATAAAATATTTTAGCAAAAAGGTTTTAACTCAAAATTTTGCAAGTAATTTTTTTTGTTAGTACACAAAGAGAGGTTTCATAAGCAACATTTTTAGCTACAAGTGATTTTTTTAAAAGATTGCTATTTTTTTCGATTTCACATTACACCTGATTTTAAATTCTGATTGGTCAATCGGTGGGTGCATTACTATACATATGCACTAAATTATATAACTCTTAATTTTAATTATTTTAATTTTTAATTTTAATTTTAATTATTTTAAATTTAAATTTAATTATTTTAAATACTAATTTATTTTTTAAAGCTCCTAATTATTCATTTTCTCAGCAAATAGAATTATTAACAACTATATTATTAAAATATCAAAAAGAAAATAATGAATATTTATTAGACCCAGAAACAATTTCAGCAAATGATTGAATTAAATGAGCCAAAATTAAATGGATTTTTTGATGAAATGATTAATACATTAATTTCAAAAAAAAGACTTGATAAAAATAAAGAAAAAGCAAAAAAACAAGTAGTTGGATATTGTTATCTTTTAGTTGGAATAAGAAACAAATTTGTTAAAAACTTTAAATTAGATCTTGGACTTTATTTACAATCATCAGGAATATCTAATTCTGGAATTAATACTTTATCAAATGCTGGTCTTAGTGTTTATACAAAAACAATTCAAAAATATAAAAAAGATATTATAAATACTCATTTAATAAGAACTAATAAATATTTTAATTTAAATATAAGTTATTTTAAATTTTTTTAGGTTTAAATTTTTTAATTTTATTAATTAAAATAACTAATTAAAATATTATATTTATAATTTAGTTAAATATTTTTTATTGTTTTAATATTGATGATTTTCATGATATCTATGGAATTCGTAGACCAAATACAACAACACTTAGTTCTGTAAATCATATAGCAACATGTGTAGCAAAGCCAATTATTAATACATCTCCAGCTTTAGCAATTATAAATAATAATTGTTCATTTTTTAATCCAAATAATATTGATAGACTACTTATTATACAATATTTATATTCTGGAATTAAAAATAATTTTGATAGAAGTTATAATTTACAAAAATTTAATTGGATAAATAATCAAATTTAGTTTGAAGATCAAAATCAAACTGAATTACTTATACTACATATATATGATGATGCTATAAGTGAGCATAAAGAAGAAAGATCAATGAAAAATCTTAAAATAATTGGTATACAAAAACAAAATTTACATTCAACAAAGGATTATTTAAATGTATTAGATATAATTACTTCAATAGAATTATTACAACAATATCTTCAAAATAATATTATACCAATAATTGCAGATTGACCAGGACAATATTTTTTTTTTTTTAATATTAAGGTGACCACTTAGGCTCCTGGCACTTTATTAGTTCAAACGGGTGGGCCATCCGAAGACTGGCTTTCATATTACATCAGTATAACGAGAGTATAACTAGTCACACGTACAACTTTTGGTTGCCTATTTAAGTAGTCTGCCCGAAGCATTAGTGCTATGCTAAGGGTTCTA